AACCCGTCGCCCAGAAGTCGCGGGATGACTATTGCGCCCGGATACCGGTGAGCTGAAATACGAGCGTTGTCGTTATAACCATGTTCTGGTTGCGATTTTAAACTCTCCTTTCGAATACTTACGTTATGAATAGATATCCGAAATACCCAGACAAAAGCACAGCAGCCATATTCTGTATTCCAGGACATCCATTCATCAATTTCGTCGTCAACAACAGCATTGCAATAACTGCATATTTGTCCAAGTTTTTGTTGTTGGTGATGTCTCCAATGACGTGAATGACAGTATTCAAAGCGACAACGAAAGCATCATGCAACGCTCGTAAAGTGGAATCCATTTGAGGAAAATGAAGGATAGTCAAAACTAGCAGGTATACGTATGCTTTTGTATATTGGGGGGTTCAATCGATCTAATCGGGTATAGTTAGTTGATCATGTACGATATGAATCAAGTATGACGTTAAGAATGAATGCGTGGGAAGGGCGTGTAAAATGACAGAATCATCTCATGCCCCGTCTGTTTACTGAAGAACAAAGTGAATAACAAGAACAATTGTTTCTTGTCAGATTGAAAATGACGTCAATTTCTGTTAATATCGGAGTTGCGACCACCGAGAATCACATATTATTAATAATACACTTCATTTAAAGATTCAATTTATTTTTAGTGCATGTGTTCTCTCAAAACAGCAAGATCGTCTAACAAAAAATTTTTTTCGGTTGACGGTTCTTGGCAATCCCCCGTTTGTTAGTATTGGTATTAGTAGATTCAATGCCTAACGGTTGTTCTCCAAAGTATGAACCAAAGCATAGCATAAATGAGGGATCTAATCTCTAGTCAAATATAGTCATATTTCCATTCATTTATTATTATTGCCAAGGTCTATTATAGATGAGAAGTGTGTTGCAATTATGATGATAAGAGATCGCCGTTTCTATAACGAAATAATAATGGAATAACGGCCCGCAGTAATCATTATTATCAAATCTAGGTTACGCTTACGTACGTCAAGTGTATCCTCCTGTCTGATTGTGACATGCAAGCTGTGCAATGCTTATCTGCGAAAGCACAGCGTCAACTTTTTTTTTTTTCAATTCTGCGGACAAAATTCTGCTTACATTGTCGTTCCACAAGAAGGCATGCTCAATCATCATTTTAAATATAGTACTATGGTTTCCTGATGGAAAAAATCGATATATACAATGCATGTTCGCAGTATTATTCTTACCATTGTAGTCATATGACTATCACACATCTAAGATTTGCCGGCTTAATTAGCGCATTCGCCTTGATTGAAATTCATTAAACATTATATAGATCCAAGGGCATGCCGCACCAGAACCAGACAAAGTGAACATACGGTAAACAAGCGTCTCCCCATGTCAAATTTTCTCTCGAACGTCATATCACATTTGAGTGTATACATAGGGAAGACTTTTAATGCTCCGAATATTTTATGCAGATTGACATTCTGTATGAAGTATCAAATAAACAGAAAAATATGTTATTTTAGCGGGAATATGTATTTCTGGTTCCCCCGAGCCAGTTGGGTCCTTAAAAAAGAGGAAATAACTTTAATTCTTATGTTGTTGACCTTAAAAAGCCTTTTCACAAAATGTCGATGGCAGAAGCAATTAGGGAGCATGCTAATATAGATTTTTCTCACATAAATAATTTAGAAGACTAAAATGTAGTTCACAAAAGTGCTAGGTGACATACTGTGTTATCCATTTTCATGATGAATTAAACTTTTGAAGTAAATGCAACTCCGTCAATTTCTTCAAACAAAGTGTGGATAAAACGACAATTCCTCAACGACGAACTTTTTTGAAAGACCGAAGACCGTTTCGTTCAAAAATTGGCTGGATATATCGACAACTTGTAGGAAAATCTGGGTTTACCGTACTATCCCGACAGATCGTATATTTCCTTTGATCACCTCATAGTATTTAGCGCTTCGTTGCATTATGACACTATTTTTATAAAACGACTGTTGTTATAGGATCTACCAATTATATTAACTAGAATCTATTCATACTTGTAAACTTTTGTTTCTCAAATAATACATGATAGCAGCACATTTAGCACTAGAATTATTCCAACTGGACATAAAGGCAAAAAGAAGAAGCAAAAACCGCTTCTTAATAACTGATAAACTACTCGTATACATATTGCAATGTCGATGTTCCGATATTTGGATCAAACGACACTTTTTCATTGCTCGAGAGTGTCGTTACTTGTAATAATAACAATTAATTCGCTAAAGTAAATCACTAGTACTAGATTGATTTCATGGAAATTGTTTCTTGATTATAATTTCTTTTGAAACATTCATGCGAGCTTTGTTTTCGCTTAATATTAAGCCATAAATTTGTAGAGTCAAAGTGATGTGGCTAAAAATTGACAATTGATTATTGACATGTACTTATAATACACAATTTATATAAATTGCAACGCCAAAATTAATTAACATTCAACTTGGTTAAGGTAAACTTTACATGGAGTTATGCTATATACAGTCAACTGCCTATAATTCGACCGCTTGCGTTCCGAGGTGTTACGGTCGGGAATTAAATGGGGGGTTTTGGGAGAGCGATTTATCTTTTCGTGTAGGTGCGTTCGCCGACCGGGGAATGTTACCAGGCTTAGCTCGTACTATCGCCCTTACTACGATAGTTGTGCAATTAAGACTGA